GGGAGGGTGGAGGGACAGCACAGGAGAGGAAGGCCCTCTATGAGGTGGATTGATTCAGTGACTGGGATAATTGGGATGGGAGTGTCGGGACAGTGCAATTGGCACAGGACAAAGCGGAGTTTAGGGCTGTTGTGCATAGGGTCGCTATGAGTCGCAGGCGACTCGATGGCACATAACAACAACAACACAACAATCTTGACATCACATTCTTCCTCTTAAACCCAGCTTCTCAAATTATTTGCTCAGTACTCAGACTGAATAGTTATGGAAAAAGTATATAATTCTGGCACACACCTTTTCTGATTTTAAACTATGCAGTGCTCCCTTGTTTGGGTCTCTCTGAAGGTTTTGCAATAGCATAATTCTTCTCATTCTTTTCAGTGCTAGCCATAGTTTGTTTTGATTCACATCAAATGCTATTGCATAGTCAATAAAACAGAGATTCTTGTATTCTATGCTTTCATCCAATAGCCATCTGACTTCAACAGTGATATTCCTTTATTCTATGGTCTCTTCTGAACCCAGCTTCAATTTCTGGTAGTTCTTTGTTGATATACTGTTGCAGCCTTTTTAAAAGATAATCTTCAGCAAGATTTTACTTGCTTGTGATATCAATGATATTGTTATCACTGATACTGTTAATATTGTTTTTGGCACCAGGTAGCAGACCTGCAATTTTGTAGTAGCAATTTTTCTGGTAACCTACTAATAAAATTGCTTTCTTAGTTCTCTGTTTCAGGGGTCCACAGTAAAGGACCTTAAATCCAGAATGTATTCAAGACCCTGTGGGGAAAAGCAGATTAGTGCAGGGTACAATTATAGGTTTCTTCCGTAAAAAGAGAGTCCCTTTCCCCCTGAAGTATTATAAGATACTAGGTTTTTTTATTACTTATAGTTGCAAAGCCTGACCTATCATTCTTTCCCTACATGGGAAAATCCTGTAATAAACTGAACGGCACAGACCTTCAACCACATTCCTGCTTCTAAGTGTCCCATTTACGACTTCCATGACTGTCTCTCAGCCATTTCACATTTTTTAAAATTTATTATTAATTCCAGGTACATAGGGTTTTCAGAGGCCTGCTGTTTCGCAAGTGGATGGCCAATCCTTCTCCCTAGTCTGTCTTACCAGAATGTTCAGATTTAGAGAAGTACCCAACAAAAGACAAACATTTTACAGAAAAAGTGAAAGATATATCCCTTATCGTGGAATTAACCATTAGTTTCAGTGTTGTCCCTGCCCTTGGCACAAGTGTCTTGACCCCAACCGGGCTGCTCCTTGGAGGCAAGGATTCTGAGGCTTTGTCTGACATACTTTGGTCATGTTGTAAGGAAAGAACAGTCCTTGGAGAAGGACATCATGCTTGGGAGGGTGTAGGGCAGGCACAGGAGGGGAAGGCCCTCTATGAGGTGGATTGATTCAGTGACTGGGGTAAATGGGATCGGTGTGTTGGAGACAAGTGAGATTGGCATAGGACAGATCAGAGTTTAGGGCTGTTGTACATAGGGTAGCTATGAGTTGTAAGCAACTTGATGGCACATAACAACAACAACATTATTAATTTCAATGAAAATTTACAGAGACTTTGGATTTCCATTCATTCATTGTTGTACTTTTCTCCCCTCCCAAACCTCCCCCCCCCCAAGTTCACTACCCTCTTGGAAAAGAGAGAAAAATTCTTTCATTGTTTTACAATCCCTCCCCCTAGGTCCACTCCACCATGCAGCCTTCGCTCTGGACTCCTGTCATGACAAAAATACCTAATCACATATCTCTTTTAAACAGTTTTCTCCCTCATCTGTTTTAATGCAGTATACATTATTGAATCCATCTTAGTCTCTGCCTAACCCCGAGGTCAGTCCTGTTTTACAACAGTGGCACCATGCAGTATTTGTCCTTTCTTGACTGAGATACTTCACTCAGCATAATGTCCTCCAGGGTCACCCATTTGAATAATATTGCATGAGTTCCTTGTTTTTCAATGCTGCATAGTATTCCATTGTGTGAATATACCATAGCTTCTCTATCCATTTGTTTGTTGATGGGCACTTAGGTTGTTTCCAACCTATTGCTATTGTGAACAAAGCTGCAATAAGCATGGGTGTGCATATATCTGCTTGGGTGTCAGTCATGGTCTCTTTGGGGTATATTCCTAGTAGTGGAATTGCTGGATCCAATGGTATCTCTATTTGCAACTTTTTTGAGAAAGTGCCATAGTGCCTTCCACAGTGGTTGTACCATTTTACACTTCCACCAACAGTGAATAAGGGGTTCCAGTTTCTCCACAACCTCGCCAGCATTTGTTGCTTGCTGTTCTGTTAAATTTTGCTATTCTGACTAGGGTGAGATGGTATCTCACAGTTGTTTTGATTTGCATCTGTCTTAGAACTAGGGATTCTGAACATTTCTTCATGTGCTTGTTAGCCATCTGAATGTCTTCTTTGGTGAAGTGTCTGTTCATACCCTGTGCCCATTTTTTAATTGGATTATTTACCTTTATCTTGTTGTGGTGCTCAAGTATTTTATAAATTCTGGATATAAGTCCCTTATCTGATATGTCATTACCAAATACTTTTTCCCAGTCTGTGGCTTCCCTTTTTACCCTGTTGGAGAAGTTTTTGGATGTGCATAGGGGTTTGATTCTTAGAAGGTCCCATTAATCTATTTTATCTTCTCCTGGTTGTAGGCCATATGACTTTTGTAACACTTTGTTTCTGCTCCAACTTTACAAAAGTTGTTTGACAGAGTGGCCCTTTTCACTCTGTGAGTATGTGTGTATTGCTGGTCCAGACTATTCTCCATGCTTCAATCAACTGCTTTTGCTTTTATTTAGGCAGACGACATCAGGTTGCATTAAGACATTATTTTTTGAAAGGTCACAGTCTAGGTTGATTCACAGGGAGCTCTGGTGGCCCAGAGGGAAGGAGCTGCACTGTCAACCTGAAGGCATGTGGTTCAAATCTACTGGAAGCTCTGTGGTTTAAAGCTCGGGAATCTCCTCCTGTATGATTTACAGCCTCTGAAAATCTAGTCAGCTATGAGTCAGTTTCAACTCGACAGGACAGAACAACAACAGGTTGATTCTTGGAGGAAAGTATATAGATTCAAGATCATGGTCTCTTATAAAGCATTTGTTCTTACTATGGTGAAGGTCTTACCTTCGGAAAAGGGCAAGGTTCTCCAGACACCGAGGTCAGTCTGTTTTCCAAGTTTAGTCTTGTCAAGGTGTCCACACAAGTACCACAGGAACCACAAAATCGAGCAGATGAGTAATAGGTAGCCCCACATTTAGGACAAACAGAGCAGCAAGCAGAAATGCCTGGCTAGAAGACAGAAGGTAGTATATGAATAATAATATTTTCCAAGATGATCATATTTTTATCATACCAAATAATCTCTAGTCATAAATATAACAAGTTTATACACTCTGACCCAACAACTATAATTTCTTAAAATTATCCTGCATATGGACAAGTACATAAAAAGTATATTCATTTTATTTTTAAAAAATGATATTCAAGTCCAATTCATACAGCATTATGTTATAAGAGGAAATCATTGGAAAAGATCTAAATGTCCAGTGGAATGGACTTGGGGAGAGAGATTGTATAACAATGAAAGAATTTTTCTTTTACCTTTCAAAGGGAAGAATGAACTGGAGGGGAGGGGTGGGCAGGGAGAAAAGTGCAACAATGAATGAACGGAAATCCAAAATCTCTGTAAGTTTTCATTAAAGATAATAATAGTAATAATATTAAAATGAAAAAATTTTTTAAAAAAGAGAAAATGAAAGCAGAAAGAAGGGAAAACACCCCTGGAAAGTCAGAGGTGACCCAAACCTTCTGGCTCATTGTCAGCAGAAAAAGAGAGCCCTGTGCAGGTGCGCACTGCTTTTTCTGGCTCCCAGTCTGTGACACTAGTTATAGCCCAACCTCACCTGGGGACCTGTGAGATTTGTTGAGATTTGGATATCCCAGCATTCCCAAGGAGGGGGCTTCTTCCTGATGTAAACCTCTTTCTGGGTCCTGCCAGGAGTACTACCACCTTGGTGCAACTGTTTTCTACTTCCCTTCCTATTTCCTCTGAGAAATAAGAAACTTCTTTATTATTTATTACAAAAGAAATATCTAAAGTGAGTATTAACAGGTTCAACATCAAAGCAATACACATCAAAGAAGTTAAGAGACTGTTCTCAAAAACAAATGAAATATTTTCCAGTAAATAAGTATCACTACCTAAGCCACCAAATCCTCAAGGCTGGAGAGAAAAAGAGTACCCTGGATCTCTTGGGAGCAATGGTGGGGTACTTAGGACTAAAGAAATTAATTCTAAAATACCCACCTTGGATTCAGGCCAGTCACAGCAACAAGACTCCCAGTGATTCGGCCGACCACATTTGGAGCAGGAAATGGTCTCTCTTTTCTGAGAGAATGGAGGGGGATGTCGGTCTCTAGTGTACACAGACTGGAAAACAAAACAGCATTTATAGGTTGGATTAACATCTTATTTTTTAATACCCCTTTTAATTAAAAAAGAACAAAATTGCCAATCAATGAAAGACCCAGAAATACAGTAGTTTACACATAAAAGGATAAAATCATGATGTTGCTATATTGTTATGTGTCATCGAGGCATTTGCGACTCATAGCGACGGCATTCACAATAGCTCTGAGCTCTGTCCTATTCTGAACTAATTTCACTGATAATACATGCTCCTATTATCCCAATCACTATGTCAATACATCTTATCTGGGGTCTCCCTCTACTGTGCTGTCCCTCCACCCCTCCAAGCATGATGTCCTTCTTCAAGGACTGGTCTCTCTTGACAATATGCCCAAATTATGTGAGACTGAGCTTCAAAGTCCTTGCTTCCAGAGACCACGTTGGTTTCATTCTTTCCAGGACAGACTTGTTTGCTCTTGTGGTGGTCTATGATATGTTCAATACTCTTCTATGCACCACAACTCAATGCATCAATTCTTCTTCAATCATGCTTATTCACTGTCAAGCTCTCTGATGCACTGCCAGTAACTGTAAAGACCATTGCCTAGATCAGGTGCACCTGTCTCCAGACTGACATGTTTGCTCTTCAGCACTCTGTAGAGGTCCCTGATAACACTCTTTCTCAGAGCAATTTGTCTTTTTATTTCCTGGCTGCCTGGTACCAAGAGTGTTAATTATGGAGCCAAGCAAACTGAAGCTGTTAACAATTTTAATCTCTTCACTGTCTGTCATGAAGCTGCCAATTGGCCCAGTGGTGACAATCGTTGTTTTCTTGATGTTGAGCTTTACTCCATATTTAACGCTGTGGTCCTTGACAGCAAATGCCTCAGTTTTGGCAAGCAAGATTGTTTCATTTGCATAACACAAGTTGTTGATGAGCCTTCATCAAATTATGATAGGCTTAATGAAATAACAAGTTCGTTCCAAGAACACTTTATTCCTTTACAGGAATTCAGTAAAACTAGTGTCACACACACTAATATTCCTCAGTGTCTACAATACCAAAGTTAGCAAGTTGGTTTACCATATAAAAGATTAGGAGATAAGGGATATAAAGAGAGCTGTGTCTAAGGTTTCACAACTGGTGTTTATTTTCTATCCCTTGGTGTTCTGAGATTTTATCATCTCTCAAACAATGATACAGTAACAGTGCTATTACTTTACTCACCTGTATGTGCAAGTACTGTTCTAAGCATTGTGCCTGTTCTCTCATCTGATCTGTACAGTAAACTCATGAAATAGGTTCCAACATCATCATTCTCTTGGGAGCAAAATGGGGTACTTAGGACTAAAGAAGTTAATTCTAAAATGCCCACCTTGCTTTCACAACCATCACAGCAGCAAGACTCCCAGTGATTTGGCCAAGAAGGAAAACTAAGGCACAGGTTGTTGTTGTTGTTGTTATGTGCCTTCAAATTGGCTACAACTCATAGTGACCCTATTAGCAAAAGATTGGGACCTTGCTGTGTCGTGTGCCACCCTAACAATCTCCTCCATGCTCAAGCCCATTGATGCAATCATTGTGTGAACTCATTGTGCAAGGGTCTTCCTCTTTGTAGCTGACTTTCTAGCTTCCCCAGCTGTAAAAGGAGCAGACACAATGTGATGGTGGCCAAGTCTGACTTCTACCCACTTCATAAAGAGGAACTGTCTCCAACAATAATATCCATGCAGTTGTTGTTGTTATGTGCTGTTGAACTGTTTGCACAACACCTCTGAACCCTACTCTATCTTGAGCCAACCTCACTGTCTCTGACACATCTACTCCCATTACCCTTGTCACTGAGTCAATCCATCTCTTCCTCATCCAGGGTCTTCCTCTTTTGCACTTGTCTCTCCACCCTCCCAAGCAGGTTGTCCCTCTCCAAGGGCTGGTCCTTCACTGAAACATGCCCAGAGTATGTCAGATGGAGCTTCAAAATCCTTGCCTCCGAGGAGCAGCCTGGTTTCACCCTCTCCAGTTGAAATATCCATAGTATCAAACATCAAACAAACAGCTACATGGTCAGATATGCCACCCCCACATGTCCTGCACCTATTTCTACCAACATCCAATATTTATTGCAACCTGACTTTCTGGCTTTACCACAGTTGGGTTTATTAGGGAAATAGTTTGGGGAGTGGAGGGAGGCAAAGTGTATCACCCAGCGAAGGTCCAGGTTTAGTACAGCAGTCCCAAGACAGATTAACAAGGCATGATTCCACAATTAGTAAAAGCCCAGGTTCTGTTCAGCAGAACAAATGCAAGGAGCCTCTGGTTTCCTCAATTGGAGATTGCCCCTCCTTTTCCAGCAGAGCACCTGGTGGATTCAAACTGTGCGCCTTCAGGATTGCAGTGCAGATTCTTGCCACTAGGCTACCAGAATGCCCTTCAAAGATCTCTTTAAAATAATAAAGAAAACGATGTGTTCAAAGATTAAGATGTACCTGAGAGAAGCCATGGTATTTTCAATTGTTTTCTATGCATCTGCCAGTTGGATAATGAATAAGAAAGACTGAAAAAGAACTGATGTCTTTAAATTGAGCTGTTGGTGAAATGTTTAGAATATATCATGCACTGCCAAAGGAAAAGTATAGAAAGGGAAAACAAAACTAAATCAGTGGCTATCCCAATATTTTAATTTACACCATTTGAGTAAAGACTTTTTTAATTCATGAATCTACACAGCCTCTTCAATATAACAGCTTCTTTAGAGGTTTGTTTCAGGTAACTAAGAACAATTTTAGAGGAAGAATTCAAGATACTAAAGAGTTGAAGATTTCAAAAGGCAGCACGGGATGACAAAGTAAAATATTACAATGAAATGTGCAAGGAGTTGGAGTCAGAAAATCAGAAGGGCCGAACTCGCTCAACATTTCTTAAGCTCAAGGAACTGAAGAACAAAATCAAACCTCGAGTTGCTATAATCAAGGATGCTTTAGGTAGAATATTGACTGATTTAGGAAGTATTAAAAGAAGATGGAGAGAATATACTGAGTCACTGTACTGAAAGGAAGGCAAACACAGAAGAATTTCATGAAACAACATATGAGCAAGAGCCTATGGTGATGAAGGAAGAAGTTCAGGCTGCTTTGAAGGAAATAGCAAAAAATAAAGCCCCAGGAACAGACGGTATACCAATTGACATATTTCAGCTAATAGATGCTGCCCTAGATGTGCTCACCAAGTTGTGCCAAGAAATCTGGAGAACAACCACTTGGCCAATTGACTGGAAGAGATCTGTATTTGTTCCCATCCCAAAGAAGGGTGACCCAACAGAGTGTGGAAACTATAGAACAATATAATTGATTTCACATGCAAGCAAGATTATATTGAAGATTATAAAAAAATGACTGGAACAACACATCAGCTGAGAACTGCCAGAAGTCCAAGCTGGGTTTAGAATGGGTCATGGTACTAGGGATATTGTAGCTGATGTTAGATGGATCTTAGCTGAAAGTAAGGAATACCAGAGGAATGTATATCTGTTTTTCATTGACTATGCAAAGGCATTTGACTGTGTGGATCATAACAAACTGTGGCTGACTCTGAGAAGAATGGGAATCCCAGAACACTTGATTGTGCTAATGCGATACCTATACTTGGACCAAGAGGCAGTTGTCAGAACAGAGCAAGGAAACACTGCATGGTTCAAAATTGGGAAGCGTATGCACCAGGGATGTTTCTTGTCTCCATACCTTTTCAACCTGTATGCAGAACAGATTATCCGGGAGGCTGGGCTCTATGAGGAGAAATGTGGGGTAAAGATTGGTGGAAGATCTATCAACAATCGGCGATATGCAGATGACACAACCCTGCTTGCTGAAACTGAGGAGGACCTGAAGCGCTTGCTGTAGCCTCCAATATGGATTGAGGCTCAACGTCAAGACGACAAAGATTCTCACCACTGGACCAACTGGCAGCGTCAGGATGGATGGTGAAGAGATTGAGATTGTTCACAGCTTTAGTTTGCTTGGCTCCACAGTCAACACTCTCAGTACCAGTAGCCAGGAAATTAAAAGACATATTTCCATGGGCAAGTCTGCTGTTAGGGACCTCTCCAAAATACTGAAGAGCAATGGTGTCTCTCTGGAGACTAAGGTGTGTCTGATACAGGCCATGGTCTTTGCTATCACTTGTTATGCATCAGAGAGTTGGACAATGACTAAGGAGGATAGAAGGAGAATTGATGCCTTTCAGCTGTGGTGTTGGAGAAGAGTATTGAGGGTACCATGGACTGCTAGGAAAGCAAAGAGATTCATCCTGGAAAGGGTCAAACTGGGCAACTCTTTGGAGGCAAGGATTCTGAGGCTTCATCTAACATACTTTGGACATGTTGTAAGGAGGAACCGGTCCTTGAAGAGGGACATCATGCTTGGTAGGGTGGAGGGACAGTGCAGGAGGGGAAGGCCCTCTGTGAGGTGGATTAATTCAGTGACTGGGGTAATCGGGATGGGTGTATTGGAGATGGTGCTATTGGCACAGGATAGAGCAGGGTTTAGGGCTGTTGAACATAGGGTCAGTATGCGTCGCAAGCGACTAGACGGCACATAACAACAACAGCAGCAGCAAATAATAATTTAGAAATATTTAGCACAAGGCCAAACTCCATGTGTCCTTCCTTCCCTTCCCATCGTGTGTTCCACTAGATCCTGATTTCTCGTAGGGTAAGAATTACAATTTCCATTTTCCACCCCCAACTAACCTAGCCTGATGTGGATGGACCATCGTCTTTTCAATCACTTCCTCCTATACATCTGAGAGCTGGACAACAGGGAAGGGTGACTAAAGAATCGATGCCTTTAAGTTGTAGTGTTGAAGAACACTGAATATCCCACAGACTGCCAAAAGAACAAACAGATATGTCTCAAAGAAGGTGCAGTTAGAGTGCTCCTTAGAGGCATGGATGATGAAGCTTTGTCTCACATTCTTTGGGCATGATGCTAGAAGAAGGTATTTGTTGGAAAAGGAGACCATGCTA